ACTCTTCAGTCAGAAACCAGGCCCATCCTTTTCTAGTCAAGTAACTAGAAACATGGATTTGCCAAGTCTCTGAGAAAAGCAAGTCCAGGGAGCACCATCCCAGCGCAACCTTCAGCCAGCCCTCTGTCCTTCCCTCTGTCCTTCCCTCTGTCCTTCCCGGCACACCAGCTTCTCCCTCAGACTTCTGCTTTTTGTTAAATCTCCAGGGAACTTGGAATTTTTCCAAAACGTCCTTGACCCTATCTCTTGCTGCAGGCATGAACTTGACCTCCCGACATGGATCTCAGTTCCTGATGCCATTTCCTGGGGCAGCTCCTGTTGCCGCCCACTCCCACTAACTGTGTTCTCTCCAGCTGGCTTCCCTGGCCCCAGGCTCTGCGCCAACAGCTCTTCCTCCACGTCCTAGCAAAGTCTGTCATTAGCCCAGCCCTCAGCGGGCGGGACATCTTCAACTCTCCGTGGAGTTCCAGCTATGGTCAAGGAGGCTGAGAGTGTCACATGCATTCTGTCGCCTGATTCTTCAAAAAGGACACGAAGCTCAGATAAATGAGGTCACTTGGTTTAGGTCCCATGCCCACAGAAGGGCAGGACCAGAATTCAGAGCAGCCTCCGTGATCCTAAAACCTCTTCTCTTTCTGTCGTATGAGGGGACTCTGCTTAGGTCCTGTGGCTTCCTCCGAACCCTGGCAGAGCAGCCCGGGATGAACTCTAGCCTGTGAGGCCCTTCTGTGTGCCCCCGATCTTTGCAGTCTCGTCTTTCGTGAGATGTGCTGGGGGTCCGTGGAGCATGTGCTTCGCATCAGCCACCTTCAGTTTGCAATCAGGGGCCATCACTCTGTTCTGAGTGGTCTTCCAGGAAGCCTTTCCCTGGCTGAGGAGGGTCCCTTTCTCTTTAAAATCCTGCCACTTGCTTCGGACTCTCCTTATTATATTTCCACTTCCTGGCTGCAGTCATCAGTATTTGGGGGGTTTTTTTGTTTCTTTTTTTATACTTTTAAGTTCTAGGGTACATGTGCACAACATGCAGGTTTGCTACATACGTATACATGTGCCATGTTGGTGTGCTGCACCCATTAACTTGTCATTTACTTTAGGTATATCTCCTAATGCTATCCCTTCCCCGCTACCCCCACCCCACAATAGGCCCCGGTGTGTGATGTTCCCCTTCCAGTGTCCAAATGTTCTCATTGTTCAGTTCCCACCTATGAGTGAGAACATGCGGTGTTTGGTTTTCTGTCCTTGTGATGGTTTGCTGAGAATGATGGTTTCCGTCTTCATCCATGTCCCTACAAAGGACATGAACTCATCATTTTTTATGGCTTCATAGTATTCCATGGTATATATGTGCCACATTTTCTTAATCCAGTCTGTCATCATTGGACATTTGGGTTGGTTCCAAGTCTTTGCTATTGTGAATAGTGCCACAATAAACATACATGTGCATCTGTCTTTACAGCAGCATGATTTGAAATCCTTTGGGTATATACCCAGTAATGGGATGGCTGGGTCAAATGGTATTTGAGAGGATGTGAGAGACAGGACATATTTACCTGTTTGGTGGGACGAAACAGTTCAGCATTCTGGAGACAGTGTGGCGATTCCTCAAGGATCTAGA